CCCCTATCTGCTTTGCCCCGAGGTCTTGATTCAGCTGCTGCTGGTCAGTTTCAGCAGCGGCTGAATCAGGACGTCTGGGGCAGAGCAGATGGGGTGCTGCTGGGTTGGTCCAGTAGCACCCCAGCTGCTCTGCCCCAGGTGTCCCCAAGTCAGCTTCTGCTGAAACTGACCAGCGCTGACTACAGGAAGCCCCAGGCAGAGTTGCTCTGCCCCGGGCTTCCTGGAATCAGCTGCTGATCAGTTTCAGCAGCAGCTGACTTGGGGACGCCTGGGGTTCTTAAGTTGATTCTGTATGTAAGTCAGAACTGGCGGTCAGTTTCAGCAGTGTCTGAATCTGGACGCCAGTTCCGACTTACATACAGATTCAACTTAAGAACAAACCTACAGTCCCTATCTTGTACGTAACCCGGGGACTGCCTGTATTTTGTTTAATGTTACAGCCTTCTGTCACAGTTTAGGGCAACTGCATCTGCAGTTTCAGCTCATGGTCCAGCAAGGAACCTGATCTAGGCTTGTGGCTCCTCAGCTATCACCTTATTTGGATGGAGACCTGTATCTTTTTTTTCTCCAGACCTCAGTTTTTCCAGGTTTCACAGTTCTCTGCCTGCACTGTGATTTCCCCAGCAAGTCAGGGTGCCTAAACTGGACAATACCTGGCAGTGATCAGACTTTCAAATCCCACCAAGAAGGTTGTCTGTCATTAAAAGTTCATAGTTCAACATAAGCACCCATATGCATAGATTAGCTGTTCCTTTATACAGGTAGTGTCTTCGATCTTCAGAGACCATGCATAGTTAATGTGTCAGATTATGGTTCTGTCCTCGGGACTCAGTTTCAAAAGGTTGGGTCCAGACTTAGAACTTGCATTCTCTCCTGCACAAGTACATCCTGGGAAACCCATTTAACTATGTTTGTCCCAAAAGTTCTTTCTTGTCTGGCACATTGTTTAAAATAGTTCTTTGAAGCTCATAACACTTCCTGATGTTGGTCTCATCTGTCCCCCAAAGATGATTTATATAATCCTACAATACCGGGACATAAATTTTGCATCTGCAATAGATTTCAAAGCTATTTAAACTTAAGACAATAGATATCCCAAAGATGTTGTGGAAAATTACCAGCTCTGTGTCGGCTTCGATGCCAGGAAATGATACATTTGTAACCGTGTTCATGGTCAAATATTTTCTCTTTTCCTTCCTAGCACAAGAATAAAATAAACAAAAGTGGTGAGCTGATCATAAACTCTGAAGTGAGTCGCCACCAAATGAAGAATCTGGCAGACTGTTTGCAAAAAATCAGAGACATGATTAAGGAGGCCACGCAGAAACCCAACGTGGTATCCAAGGAGACTACTCAGCTCCTCATAGCCAGGTATAAATCAAACATAGGGCTCAACTTCAGACAGATTTGGATTAGACAGAAAAAATCCACAGTCCAGTTGGAATTTGTAGGTGGGTTAAACACAGGTATCCCTGGCCAGGGCTATCATGATGCCAGAAGGGACTGTAGTAGAGCTACAACAAGGTGACAATGGGTCAGCTGCTCTAGTTAGACCGTTCTAAATAACTTGCACTGTTCTGTCAGTTCTGGAGTGTTTTAATATAACTTTATATTGTTAGCCAATGTAGTAGTCTTTTTTCATACCTGATGAAACCACTGGTCCATGAAATTTTATTCACATTCTTTCAAATGACCAATATGTGAGGTTCTTGAACAGTGATTCTCAACCTATTTATCACTTCAGGCCATGTATACAGTTTTCTATGTGTTATATATACTGTGTGGATGTGGCCCATATATTATCTGCATAGCACAGAAGATGTAAATGGGCTGCAGCAGTGTGCTGGTTGAGCCATGAACAGCCCACAGGTTGAGAACCACTGCTAGAGGGAGGTGAAAGTTCCCTATGGGGAACCGAGTAGTGCTGTTTTGGGGTGAGAAGGGCTGGAATTCCTTCCTGCCCTTGGCGATAATCAACTTGCATCCTGAGACATGAGATTTTTTTTCTACTCTTGTCCTAGCATGAATAATAGTATAGTTCAGCAGTTAATCCCTGCCCTTTGGATTTAAATAATCTCCCTGTATGCATGGATGGCACCTGGTAACACATTGTGTGTGTGTATCATCAGACAAGTGTTGAATAATAATAGTTGTTTTTAAATATTTTTAGGGGTAGGCTGATTAAGGTTCTCATTCTCTGTTTTTAGGGTACAAAAAATGAATCGTGAACGACTGCGACAGAAAAAAATTCATTCTACTATAAAACAAAGCAGGAGGATAGATGTTGATTGAAGATAAAAAAGAAATTCCCTGGATAGCTTACTTTTAAACACATTCATCTGGAAAATGAAGAGGATATTCAAATTACAAACTCAAATTACAAAAAAAACTTTGCTTAAACATGTAAAATGTAATTTAACATTTGCTTTCTTGTATATAATAAAGTGGGTTTTCATGAACAATATTAATATTGCATATATTTTTCCATGTTTTAAAAGAAAGCCAAATGCTTAGGCTTTCTTCTGCCATGACTTTTTTTTGTATTCCTCGTGCCCCAACTGTACACCCTTGTGTATTGATGTATGAGAGTAACCCCTGTTTCGGAAAAAGCAAGCAGGTTAGCTTTGGAGCAGAATTGTGCACCAAGAGATTTAAACAAAGATGCTTTAGCAAGTTTAGGCTGTTATGCTTATAAGAAGCACATGGGATTTTTTTCAGGGGAAAAGGCAATATGCTGCATTTATTGAGAATACAGTCGAGAAGCAGTTAGCATATGCTTTATAATGACACAGACTCAGACGTCCTACAGATGGTGCATAATTACCAGTCTGTCATGGCTCAAGTCAGTCTTACTGGCCAGGCAAGGCTCACTGAGTGAGGAGTCGGGGTCTTTTGATCGTGATTCAAGGCTCCTGCGAGGCTTGGCTTGCAGGATGGAACCCAGAGTTCCATGACAAGAGCTCTCCTTATACTTGTAAGTTCCCATTTGGGTCTATGGATATTGCAGAGTCATGCTGCAGTCATCCACTCTTACGAGGTGTTAATCTGCGTTCACCAATGTTATCCTTTGATGGTGATTGTCAGGATTCCCATCCTTGTGTCTCAGTCTTGGTGGGGTCTCTGCTTGTCTCCAGGGTTTGTCAATGCTGCTAATTCAGTTCAGCCTCAGACACAATGACTGTTTTGTTATGTTCAAAGTTTCCACTTCTTGATCGCCTGGGCGTCTGTGATGGCTTTCACTCATTCCAAACAATTGTACAGTTTCAGACAAGATAATAATTACACAACTTAGTTTGTGATGCAGACAAGGGGTACAACTTTAAGAAGGAGGCATCTGAACCACGCCTTGAGGTGGCCGAAGACACACTCCATCTGACTTGCCCGACTGAGATGGGACTTAATTGGTCCCTGCTGGGGTCCAGCTGGCTGGAGTATAGTTTAATCAGCCACAGCATGAGGGGGTAGGCTGCCTCCCCCACAATGCACAGTGGCCTCTGCACATCCCCAACTGCAATGTCATGCTGGGGGAAGAATGTGCCCACCTCTAGCTTCCTATAGAGGCTCAAGCTGCGAAATACGCGGGTGTTGTGCGCCCTCCCCAACCACCCAACAAAAATGTCCGTGAACTGTCCACAGTTCACGGTCAACCAGGGCCTGTAGCACCATGGAGAATTAGCCCTTCCTGTTGATATACTGGGCTGCTCAATGACTTGGTGTGCAGATTGGAGTATGGGTTCCTTCTGTGGCTCCACCGCAGTTCAGGAAACCCAGGGCGGCAAATCTTGCGATGATCGGTTCCAGGTCTTCCAGGCAGATGACCCTGAGCAGCAGGATGGAATTGATGGCCCTCACAACCTGCAAGAGAAGACAAACACACACACAAAACAGAGAATGAGAGGGAGTGCCTCAGCCCTTAGGAGGTGCCTGTCCCCTTTTCTTCCCCCCCCCCCCCCACAAACCCCCCGGGCCCCCCCCCCAT